AGAAAACTTTTCTGTGAAATTAAACTTCATACACAGTTATAATTACACAAATGTGCCTACATAACTAATTTGTAAGTTTTTTAATGCATGCATTCAGGAAACCTATTTTATTATATAACAGACTTTCGACTTTAACGGACATCCCCTCTCCTGAATTAATAATCGGTTATATCAAGGTTTTACTATATTTTAAGTTTCAAGTTTTCACAGAAGTTAATATAACTTCTGTGCTTCCTTGCTAATAAATACTAGGATAAATGTTTCTTCATGGCAACAAATAAGAAAAGAATTTGATAAATTATCTAGTGCAGTGCCCAATGCCTCATACATACCAGGCCTTCAAGTAAGGCAGTTTATAGAGTCACAGTGTCAGAATTGAAAGGAGCCCTAGAAAAATAATTACTGTAGTGTATATATATATATATATTTTTTTTTTTTTGTTAATTCTCACCCGAGGATATTTTCTACACTGATTTTTCAGAGAGTGGAAGGAGGGAAGAGGAGAGAGAGAAAAAGAGAGACATCAATGACAGGCACACTGGTTGCCCCCCTCCCCCATGTGCCCTGACGGGGCCAGGATCAAGCCTGCAACCAAGGTATGCTCCCTGACCAGAATGGAACCCCAGATGCTTCAGTCTGCAGGCCGATGCTCCAACCACTGAGCCAAACCGGTCAAGGCTACTTTTTGTTTTTTAATTTATTAACACAAAAAGAAATTATCTGATAGAGATAACCACAAAGCCAAAAAAAAAAAAAAAATCACTGAGAAGATAATTCTAACTTATAAGCTTGATAAGCTACAGCCAAAAAGAATTCACAGAAAGGAGGGAGGAAAAACCAGAACAAAAATATTCAGTATCAGAAATGAAAAAAGGAGACAATTACAAATGACTTCAGATATTGATAGTAAGAGGGTGCTTTGAACAACTCTGTGCCAACAAATACTACAAATTTAGACAATATGGACAGAGTCCTAGAAAAATCTAACTTACCACAACTGACAAAATAAAAAACAAAAATATCTGAGTAATCCCGTAACCATTAAAGATATTACTAGTGAAAAATCTGCCACCAGCAAAACTTCAGACCCAAGTGAATTCAATGGTAAATTCTACCACAACCGGTTATCCACATGAGAATAAAGTTAAATTATATTTATATTCCAAATTACACACAAGTTAACAATTCCAATTATACAGACATGAAATGAAAATTTTTAAAACCAGAACTTCTGCTCATAAAAAAGAAAACACCCCCCCCCCAAAAAAAGAAAAGAAAACCACCGCAAAGAGAGAAAAGGTATTTGCAACCAACTTCATATACTTTAGCCAAAACAATATATTGCAACAGATTGGAGAAGCAGACATGAGATTCTAAATATATTTGCAAAAACAAAGGCACTCTTGTCACTATTTTTATTTTGTTTTGGAAAATAGCTATTTTTCACTAAAAATGTTATTTAAGGTTTAATGTCTAATGTGACATAATCCACAGTAACAAAAGGTCTTTGGGGCCCTCAATAGTTTTTGAAAGTATAAAAAAGTCCTGAGACCAGAAAGTTTCTGAATTGCAGAACTATGGGCACATGTTTCAACAGGGATTAACTGTAGGAACATAATGTTTAACAAAAGTAATTCACATAATATACAGTATGATTCTATTTAAATAAAGTTCAAAAACAGGTAAAAGAAACAATATGATAAAACTGTAAAGGAAGGCAAGGGAGTAATTAACACAAAATTCAGAATTACCATGGTGATGGGGCAGAGAATACTTTGCTTCTGGGGAGAGGCACATGCTAAAGGCTTCTAAGGTACTTTCAGTGTTCTATTAAGCTGAGTACACATATACTTTTCTTTTTTACAGTATACATGTCATATTTCACAACAAAAATTGTTAATATAAGAAACAAGGAGACATACCTATTTTCCTATAAGGAAAAACTCAAAAGAATGTTTCTTCTCAAATTAATCTATAAATTCAAAGCAATCACAAACAATATCCCAAGATTTTCTATAGAACTTGAAAAGATGATTCTAAATTTCATCTGGAAGAAAAATGCAAAAGAAAAGCCCAAAGCTTTTTTCAAAAGTACCAAAATATATTACAAAGCTACAATAATTAAAACAGTGCAGTAACAGATAAATAGGTCAAAAAAAAGAACGGTTCAGAACCCCCCCAAATAAACAAACAAACGAGGAAAAATGTTTAACTTCTTTGTTACCCAAGGAAAATAAAAATTAAAATGAGGTATTATTTTCGATTATTAAAAAATTAGTGAGATATTAAAAAAATAAAGTTACCATCCAGTGCTGGCTAGCAGGGAGATAAAAACACACCGTATGAGAGAGTGAATATAAAAGGGTACAACCATTTGAAGGCAAGTTAACAGTATTATTACCCAGCATTCTCATGGGGAATCATTTGTACAGAAATACTACCATGAGACTATAAAGCACTGTTTATAATAACAAAAAAGATAATTACTGCAGCATCGTTAGTTATAGGGAAAAACTTGAAAATAACTTAAACATCCATTCATAAAGGGATGGAAGACTCATTTGATAAATAGATGCCATATCTACTTAATTATACTAAAGAGATATACTGCATTTCTTTAACAAACAACTACATCTCAGGCAAGTTTTTAAGTACTGTGGATTTTAATTAAGCAACTACGTTTGGATTACAGGAGATGCTCATGATACAGCTCTTTTTTTTTTTTTTTTAATCCTCACACAGGGATATTTTTTCCATTAATTTTTTTTAGAGAGAATGGAGGGTGGGATGAGAGAAACATCGATGTGAGAGACACACCGATTAGCTTGCAACTAACCGAGGTACATGCCCTTGAACGGGAATCGAACCGGAGACCCTTCAGTCCGCAGGACGAGACTCTAACCACTGAGCAAACCAGCCAGGATGATAGAATTCTTTTTAAAGAGAATTGGTAACATTTGGGCAAATGTTGTAAAAACAAAACTTCAAACACTGCTCTGTCTTTCCTCAAATAATTGTGTCACTTTTTATTTTTCTTTAGTCTGGGTTATTTACTAACGTACTGAACATACTGTATAGTACTATCTAGTTCTAGAAAGCAGTTTTTCAACACAAGAGCATTCTTACATGTTAAGGAATACCTTTGTTATAAACCTTCTGAGTAGGCTTATAACCAATCTCAGATCCTATAATATTAAAGACCATATATACATCCTTTTCCCTTCTAATAGCTTTTTCAGGGGAACGTTGTGGGCCCTTAGATCACTAATGTAACTACAATAACACTATAAACTTCTACAACACTTAAGTTCAGAATATATTCTCATAAGCCTTATCACTGTAATTTTACCTTACAGGGAGAATAAAGGGTCAGGGAGGTGTGTTTAAAATTTTGGATTTCAAACAAATTGTGATTCAATTAAACTTGAGAATTTTCAAAGTATCTTCCTCAAATTTTGAGGTTAATCTGCCAATTTCTCCCACAAAATTCGTCTTGGTGCCACCCTCAGACAAACAGTTGGGTTGCACGTACTAACTAACCTATTATGACATTCCTTAGGCGCTATTTCGGTTGTCTGCTAAGTAACCCTCCCTATGGATAGATCTCTTCCTTTTATACCTACTTTAAAAAAGACAGGGTCACGCACTGCCATGAAGTCTCTACATAAAGAACTTGTGGTTCAGGGCTTATAGAGAACCCTTAGAAAATTATTTAACAGCCAGTCCAAACCAAATAAGCAAAGCTTTTAACTATTTATTACAATGTCCATAAAGATGAATGTCTTCTAACAAGCAACTCGTTCTAGACTTTCTGCCTCAAAAAGGGGAAAGATAACTTCTGAAATTCTACACCAACTTGTAAAATGCTGACATCCTAGAAAGAAAGATGAGACTGAGAATGGCCACAGGTGGTAAAAGGTAGAGAAATTTAAAATGCAGCAAAGCAAAAACAATTTTGAAAACCACCGTCCCCTCCCACCCCGCTTGCCCTAGAGCAGGACAAACAGGCAAGAATGCGTTAGTCATTAATCGGTCAAGAAAAGCATGCAAACTGCAATTAAAATTTTTAAAATTACAATAGCGAAGCCACAAACGCTCAAGCAGCTTACTCCTTGCACCTCAGTCAGATGTCTACAGAGGTCCACAAACGGAGGGGTCCACACCAGGGAAATTTTACCTGTCCTTTGTGCTGCCGCTGCCCCCGAGAATTCGGGATTATTCTTCAATTTCTTCCCCATGCTTTTATTTGTTGTCCGCTCCTCACACATGCTCTTCCATTCTCTCGATCTCTCTCTTGGCCAAATGTAACAGATATATTTTTGGACCTTGTTAATAAACCGCTTTCTTTGCCTCCTTCCCGGCAAGGGAGCCCGCGAATCGCCTTTTTGCGGGCTCCCCTCTCCCCGGATTTCCAATGGCCCCCGGACTCCCGGGTTAGCAGGAGCTCGTCAGAGGTGCGCAGGACTTACCACGTCGCAGCCCGTCCTTCCTATCCGCCCTCGTGCCACGAGCTTGGGGAGGGCGGCCCTGGCTTGCAGGGCGGGCCTAAAGCGCAGGGGGGAGGGACGCAACCAGGTGTCTAGGCTCGGAGCTCGCGGGCCCCGCCGCGCTAGTCAACCAAGCGTCGCCCCTCCCTCAGGGAATCATAAAAAGGAACCAACCCCGAGGTGTCGCGCGGCCAGAAGGAACCTGTTGACGCTCAGTGACCGCCCAGGCAACCGGAAGTAAAACCCCTATGGCCTCAGGAAAGGGCGGGGAGTAGCGGGGAGGGAGAGGGAGAGAGAAAGTGAAAACTGAACTGTGGCGTACTTTCTAAATGTAAAAGCCAATCACTGAGGAGAAAAAGATGCGCAGACGCAGGCTGCGGCCGACGTCCACGCGGCGCTCGCTTTTCGCCTCTGCGCAGGCGCGAAGCCGCAAAGCGCTCCGGGATTGGGTAACGGGATCTGGCGCTCGCAGCGTCGCGGCGGGTCTTCTCGCGGGGCTGGCGGGTGGTCGGATGCGGAAGACGCGCGGCGAGGACGCCGAGGCGCCGCGGTGACGGGCCTGCGCGTGCTGTGGGAGCCGCTTTCTCTACGGTGTGGTGCGTTTGCCTCCCCTTTCGCCTGCCGCTGAAGCGGGTCCGGTGACGCTTGTTTTATCTTGCTCAAAAGCGACATTTACGAAATGTCGTCCTTGTTACTGAATAAATGTTAAATCCATGTAACGTTTGTTTCCGTGGTGGTTCCTTAGGAAAACACCTCCGTAAGTTTATAATGTATTGCAGAGAGCCAGAGGGACCACAGGCAGCATTAATTCTACCAATGAGAGGTACTCAGTACTACATGTGACACCATGAACCGGGTCCTGTGCCGCATGATGGCTACAGCAATATTTACTCATTAAATAGCATTTTTTCCTGTTTAGTGTGGCCAGATGCTGAATTAGGCATTAGGATTACAGTCGTGTATAAACTAGACAAGGACCCTGCACATAATGAAACTTATTATAGAGGTGGATGGATGACAAACAAGAGTAAATGACCACTATCACCACCACCACAAAAATAGAATTTCATTTCACAGTGCCGCTGTGAAACCAAGCTAGAAACGTGGGAGGATGGGGTTGGAGGCCGGAGGCCAGGGACAGAACAGGCAGAGAGATCCAAGATCTCAATTAAAAGGACATTCCAGGTCATACCTCAATGATGAAAACAGACCAAACTAGTCCTTGGAAGATGTGGAGGAAGAGCTTTTCCAGCAGAGGACAAAACAAGTGCAAAGGCTCTAGAAGTGAAATTGTGTTTGAGAACTGAAGAAGGTTAGCCGTAAAAGCAGAGAATAAAATAGAACAGATGCTTTGAAATACACAAAAATATATACAATTCTCTGACTTATCACAAAGCAAATATTTATGAAACCACCAACCTGGTCAAGAAATAGAACATTGCCAGAACCCCAGAAGTTCCCTCTTGTGCCACCTCCTAATTAATACCCACCTCCTTTCCCTATTACCAAACCTAACCACTACTCTAACTTCCATGGTGATCTCTTCCTCACTTAATAGGTTTTGTGGAACCCAAGAAAGAAGGTACCTACCCAGAAGGGCTCCTGGTAGCTTAAGGGGGCTTAAATTTCTAAAAAGGAAAAAAAAAAAAAAAAGCAGCCTTTTTTACATAGGGGCCTCTCGGGCAAACTGCACTTCGAGGAGAAGCTTGCACCGAACCACCTGCCACTCTACTGAACTGCCTGCCTGCGCTGTGTTTCTGCCTCTGAGCCAACCCTCATAAAGGAATTCCTGGAATCCTATTTCAGCCAATAAGACTGAGGCTTTTCCCATCCAATAGGAGCTGTGCAGCTGTATCTCCATCAGCTTCTTCACCCATCAGTTGAGTGGCTCTATTCCAATCAGTCATGACAGTGCCTTCTGGACCAATCAAGCTGTAAAGATTTGGAGTTCTCATTTGTGTAAGGACAGATCCATCAGGGACCAGGGGTGGGAACTTCCGTCTATATAAGTCAGCTTCTCTCTGGCTCTGGGAACGCACTTTCCCCTTCCAATAAAGACTGCTTCCCTGGCTGAGCTGAAACACTGAACATCTTTGAACAGAGTGGAGAGACCAGAGAAGAGCAGAACAGAACTGTCTAGCTGCCGAGAGGTCTGGCCCCAGGGCTGCCTCACAGCTACACTGTACCACAGTTTAGTTGCTTTGCACTGAATAAAGTTTCCTTCTTCACACCACCCCACATTGGGGATTCCTGTTGACCTCCAATTGACGCCAACGAGCATCAGTTTACAGTTTTCTGCATAACTGTACATCCCTAAACTTTATCATTTAGTGGTTTGAAATTTCTATAAATTGAATGATTTCATGCTTGGTTTCTTTGAAGTAAATTCTGAGACTCGTGATTTTGTGTGTACTTATTTTTCATTTTCATTATTATACAGGTATCTCTCACTTTCAGAAAGTTTGCATTGAGCCACTTCACTTTTATGAAAGACTTATATTATATTAGTACCTGTTTTCACTACCAAAAAAAGGCATTAGTGTACTAATATAGCAGGGCAAAATAATGTGATGTTTTGGAAGTGGGGGATACTCTTCACTTTTCACCATTTCTGCGTAAAGGTTTTACAAGGAACACCTTATAAAACCCCACTCTCAGATACTGGGGGAAATCTGTATATGTAGGTGTGGATGTAGCACATTTTCTTTATCCGTTGTACTGTTAATAGGCATTTGGGTTATTTCTGGTGATTGGAAATTATGAACAATGCAGCTTGAACATTCTTATATCTCTTGGTGCACACATGTGTCATTTCTATTGGGTATATACCATGCTGACATGCTGGACATGATCATTTGGATTTTTATTTTAACAAATACTTATTCTCTTCTCCCTTCCACTGTTGCCCAAGTTGACTTCTCTACCCCATTGATATTGTTCTTGGCCATGTGAAGTTTTTGGCTGATAGAATATGAGCAGACATGATATGGATAGGAGTCTTAAGGGTCTGTATATGGTTTGATTTGGCTCTTGAACTCAGATGATGCACACTAGACCACTTCTCATGTGGCCATTCCCCTCCAGCGTGGGCCCTCAGAACAAACATATTTGGAGCAGATGGGAATGCAACATGCAGCCCAAACCACCTTATGTTAGCAGAGTTTTAGACATCCGAAGATCAATGAGTATGGGAATTAATGCTGTTGTCATAAGCCACTGAGTTTGGGGTAATTTATTATGCAGAGTTATTGTGGCAATAAAAAAGACATATGTTCAACTTAATAGAAAATGCCAAATTTTTTGCAAATTGGTTTTACCAAGTTACATTTTCACAAGCAATGTATGAAAATTCTAGTTGCTCGCCCGGCCGGGCGTGGCTCAGCAGTTGAGCATCAACCTAGGATCCAGGTGATCAGGGTTCGATTCCCAGTCAGGGCACATGCCCGGTTGCAGGCTCGATCAATGACTCTCTCATCATTGATGTTTCTGTCTCTCTCCCTCTCCTTTCCTCTCTGAAATCAATAAAGATATATTTAAAAAAAATAAAGAAAATTATAGTTGCTCTACATTTTTGCCAACATTTTAAATTTTACCTACTCTGGGGGCTGTGCTATGGTTTGAATTTGNTTCTAGTTGCTCTACATTTTTGCCAACATTTTAAATTTTACCTACTCTGGGGGCTGTGCTATGGTTTGAATTTGCATTGCCTCCAACTTTGTTCTCTTTCAAATATGTTTTGGTTATTCTCTTTTGAATTTGCGTATAAATTTTAGACTAATCTTACCATTTCTACCTGAAAAAAAACAACTGCTAGGATTTTGTTTGAGATTGTTTTAAATATATAGTTCAATTTGAGGAGAATTAACATCTTAATATTCTATCTCCAAATTCATAAATATGATATCTCTATTTAGATCTTTTAAAATGTCTCTGAGCAATGTTTATAGTTTTTAGTGTATAGGTCTTGCACACATTTTGTTATATTTATCTTTTTATGTCTTGATGGTATTTAAGTTTTAATTTACAGTGGTTTGTTGCTAGTATTATAGAAATACAATTGATTTTTCCATTTTAACCTTATATCCTGCAACTGCTAAACTCATTAGATCTAATAGCTATTTGCGTGTTTATTTTCTTTTTTTTATAAGACAAACATGTTGATTGCAAATAAAAATACTTTTTTGTTGTTTCCAATCATATTTCTTTCCTTTTTACATTGTTTAAGGCTTCTAATGCAATGATTAATATAAAAGGTGTTAACTTTGGTGTTCTGTGTCCCTTTTTAGGTTGAGAATTTTCCTTTTTCTAGTTTTTGGGAGTTTTTATCATAAATGGGTGTTTAATATTTTCTGCATCTATTGAGAGAATTACATAGGTTTTATTTTTTAGTTTACTACATTAATTGATTTTCAAATGTTAATCTAATCTTGAGTTCCTGGGATAAAACCAACTTAATTAGGATTCATTGTCCTTTTTATGTATTACTGGATGCAAATTGCTGATATTTGGTTACGGATTTTGGCATTTATGTTCATGAGGAATATTGGTCTATGATTTACTTTTCTTGTAAAGTCTTAATTTTAGGTTTTGGTATCAGGATAACTCTAGCCTCACAGAATGAATTGGTAAGTATTCCCTCCTCTTTTTTAAAAAACTCCTCACCCGAGGACATGATTATTGATTTTAGAGAGAAAGGAAAGGATGAGAGAGAGGGGAGGGGAGAGAAACATCTGTTGGTTGCCTTCCCATACATGCCTGACCAGGAATCAAACCTGCAACCTAGGTATGTGCCCTGAACAGGAATCGAGCCTGCAACCTTTTGGTGCATGGGAGAACACTCCAACCAACTGAGCTACACTGGCCATGGCAGTATTCCCTTCTCTTTTAATTTCCAAAATACTTTGATTAAAATTGGTAATATTTCTTCCAAAAATGTTTAGTAGAATTAAGCAGTAAAGTCATCAGGGCTGGTATTTTCTTTATAGGTTTGTTTTTTTTTTAGCACAAATATTTTTTTAAATCCTCACTCAAGGATATTTGTTTAAAATTTTATTTTAGAGAGAGAGGAAGGGGGGAGAGAGAGAAAGAGAGAAACATTGATGTGAGAAATATCGATTGGTTGCCTCCAGTATGAGCCCTGAACCACAACCAAGGTACGTGCCCTGACTGGAAATCGAACTGGCAACCTTTTGGTGTATGGCACAATGCTCCAACCAACTGAGCAACCCAGCCAGGAATATTTCTTTAGTAGATATAGAGTTATTAAAAATATTTCAGAGGAAGAGAGGTTTACCAATACTACTGTCATACTAGGGTGACTGGGCATACCCAAAGCTGTGCCTCCCTGAGAAGAAAACAGAAATTCAATGCTGTGTGTATGGGGAAATATCGCTAAAATAAACCAGCTGGTCACTAAATCAATAAAGAAACAAATAACTAACAAGTCCCAAATGGGGGCAGGGAGACCAAAAAACAGAGTTGGAGCAATTTACTATCTAAAATGTCCAGCTTCCAACCAAAAGTTATGAAGGATGCAAAGAGACAAGAAAATATGACCCATACACTGAAAAAAAGAAAGCAACAGAAACTCCTGAGAGAGTGACTAATGTTGGATTTAACAAAGAAAGACTTCAAAGTAGCCATTATAAATATGTTCCACAAACTCAAGGGAAGTCTAAAGAAGTAAAGGAAAGTATGATGACAATGTAACATCAAATGGAAAATATCAATAAAGATAAATTATAAAAAAGGCCCAAATGGAAAGTATGGAGTTGAAAAGCACAATAACTGAAATTAAGAACGCTAGAGTGCCTCAACAATAGATATGAACTTGAAGACTATGTAACTAACAAACTTGAAGATAGATCAATAGAGATTATGCAAGCTGAAGAACAGAGAGAAAAAAATGAACAGAGTGGGACAACACTGAACACAGCAACATATGTGTAATGGCAGACCAGGAGAGGGGAGAAAGAAAGGAGAAGAAAAAATATTCAAAGAAATAATGGATGAAAACTCCACAAATTTACTGAAAAACAATAATATACACATTCAGTAAGCTCAATAAACTCCAAGTGGGATAAATTCAGAGATTCATAAGCAGACACATCACAGTAAAAATGTTGAAAGTCAAAGACAAGAACAAAATCTTGAGAGTAGAAACAGAAAAATGACATCACTTACAAGAGAATCCCAATAAGATTAAGAGCTGACTCCTCAGTAGAAACAAGGCAGTGGGATGACATATTCAAAGTGCTCAAAGGAAAAAAACAACTGTTAACCAAGATCCTATATTCAGCAAATCTATTAAAAAAAAAAAATGAATAAAAGACTGCCCCAGATCAATAAAAATTGAGTTTGTTGCTAGCAAATCTGCATTACAAGAAATACTAAAGAAGTTCTTCAGGTTGTAACCAAGTGATCCCAGATGGTAGTCTGAATTCACATGATGGAAAAAACAAAGAACGCTGGTAGAGTTCATTATATAATGACTTAAAAAAACAATTAGAAATGAGGCCTAGCTGGTTTGGCTAAGTGATTAGAGTGTCAGCCTGCAGACTGAAGGGTCCAGGGTTCAATTTCAACCAAGGGCATGTACCTCAGTTGCAGCAGTCAATTGATGTGTCTTTCTCACATTGATGTTTCTCTGTCTCTGTCTCTCTCTCTTTCCCTTCCACTTTCTCCGAAAAGCAGTGGAAGAAATATCCTCAGGTGAGGATTAAAAAACCAAAAAAGCAGTAGAAATGCATATTTTTTTCCTCCTCAAAACTGATTTTAAAAGCCACTGTATGAAGGTCCTGAGTGGGTTGCTCAGTTGGTTAGAGCATCATTCTGATACACCAAGTTTGCGGGTTTGAACCCCAATCATGGCACATAAAAAAACAACCAATAAATGCATAAATAAGTGGAACAACAAATTGATTTCTCTCTCTCCTTCTCTCTCCCCCCTCTCTCTTCTCTCTCTTAAAATAAAGTCATTGTATGAAATAATATGTATATAATGTAATATTGGGCTTAAAACATAGAAATATATATAAAATTTGCTAATAAGAGCACAAAGGTTCAAGCTGTACTTGGTTAAGGATATAACAACAGATTGTAAAGTAATAACTGTAATAATATATTGTTGCATTTGTAACACTTAATAGATGTAATATGAATAACAATAATACCACACACACAAAAAAAGAGTAAAGCTATAAAGGTGCAGCATTTCTACAAATCATTGGAATTAAGCTAGTATAAATCTAAAGCTGATTCTGGTAAATTGTTTATGGCAAACCTGAGAACCACCACTAAAAAAACAAATAAAATTTTTAAAAATGAAAATACTACAATAGAAAATATTCACTTAATGCAAATGGAAGTAGTAATGGAGGAACAGAAGACCAAATAAGACAT